TAATTGAAAACATGGATGAAATAAGAAATATGAAACAAATAAAATAAAACACATACAAAGCAGAACACAGCTAAATGTATCAAAAGCATGTCTATGTAATATTAGAATTTCCTGAGACAATGAATTTTGGTTTTTTGTTTTTTCCCCTGTAAGAGGTTTTTATTTAATAGAATTTTTGGACAAAAAAAATCACAATATATCGCCTTTCTTATAGTATCGCAATATATCGGGATATATCGTATCGTGACCCCTCTGTCATGATATGTATCGTATCGCCAAATTCATGCCAATACACAGCCCTAGTAACTTGTCATTTTAAAGTAAAGAATTCAGACTCTCCCACAGAGGAATAAATATCCCTTTGTTGAGCAAATAGTTTAGTTCCAGAAACAAAACAAAGCCATATGTTACCAAAGTCACTAARAGCTCTTTGAATTAGGCATGAATTATATTCACTATTTGATACCACATTTGAATGAAATTCGATTTAAAACAGCAAGCCAAAAGTCAGTTATTCAGACTAATCTTTTATTGACTGATAAAAAATGATGGCTCATAAACAGGCCTCGTTTTAAAATTATGCTTTAAAATAATCTTGGCTTACAGTCAACAAACAATTCACAATGAGGCCGGGTGAAAATTTCAAAATCTGCCGAGCATTAGACGTGCTTATCAGTATTTCAGTCACTGAGCAGTGAGCAGCAAAATACATTAACTACATTACAGAGGATAAAACACAAGTTGGTATTTGTAATATTAGTTTATTCTCATGATCAAAGTGAAGCACACTTTCAGTGTTTGTTGCCGTCRTTAACATGAGGTACTACTAATGAARCAAGTAWCACTAAACAGGAYGAGTTGTTCCCTAAAACAAGAGTTTATTAGAGACACAGTCTTCTGTACAGTCTGTGGAAGTGCACCTGCTTGCAATTTTTTTTCTGAGTAATCAATGTTATATTATTGGTACAAAAATATAGTAATCTGATGCATCTAGAGACCTAATCAGTAAACATCACTTTTGCTCACAATATTGCTATGGAGAACCATCCATCCATCCATCCATCCATCCATCCATCCATTATCCTCCACTTTATTTGAAGTTGGGTCGCAGGGACAGCAGCTTCAGCAGGGAAGCCCCAGCCACCTCTTCCAGCTCTTCTGGGAGGACTCCAAGGCCTTCCAAGGCCAGCTGGGAGACAYGATCTCTCCAGCGTATCCTCAGGGTCTCCTCCCAGTGGGACGAGCCTGAAGCACCTCCCTAGGGAGGCATCCAGGAGGCATCCTTACCAGATGCCCAAATTACCTCAACTGGCTCCTCTTGACGTGGAGGAGCAGCGGCTCTACTATGAATCTCTCCCAGATAACTGAGCTTCTCACCCTATCTCAAAGGGAGAGTCCAGCTACCCTGCGGAAGAAACTCATTTTGACTGCTTGTATCTGTGATCTTGTTCTTTCGGTCACTACCCAAAGTTTGTGACTATAGGAGAGGGTAAGAATGTAGACTGATGGGTAACAGAGAGCTTCATCTCACAGCTCAGCTCTTTACCACAACAGACTGGTAGCTGGAAGCTGCACCGATCCGTCTATGAATGAAAAAAAAAAGCAGCAAAGATACTGAACTCCTCCACTTGAGGCAGAACTTCAACCCCAACCCGGAGAGAGCAATCCACCCTTTTCCCAATGAAGACCACGGACTCAGATTTGGAGACACTGATCCTCATCCCAGCTGCTTCACATTCGGCTGCAAACCGCTCCAGTGAGAACTGAAGATCACGATACAATGACACCAACAGAACCGTATCATCTGCAAACAGCAGAGATGCGGTGGTGGGCACTAGTCCCCTAAAGCGCTGTAGCACTAATTGCGCCCTGAATTTCTCCTTTGAACTTTAGGGCTTTGTCAAAAATTTTGAACTGTGTGTGGATTTGTGCTTTCTRAAATTAAAATTCAGAAGCGTTAAATAAATGATCTCATAWAGTATTGATCATCATTATCTTTACCAGCTGAGGGGGAAAGCTGTCTTAAGCCAGGACAATGCAGAAGCATTGTACGATAACAGCGCCCCTCAGATGTCTGTTTGTTCACAGAGCTATAAACTCTCGCTAAGTGTCCTTCTGGGTCACACTTTTCATTTAAGAGACCATTCCCACAATTCTTTGTGTTTATGTGGCAGGAAGCAATTAAAGCTACGTCACTGGGTGACACCCCSAGTCCCAGCTCTTCTCCACTGGCGCGGCTGTTGCAGTTATGCTCGTTTTGGCTTAGGCTGAATGTGTCTCCAGGTTCCAACTGYGCAGAAYCAYGCTCRGACKCRCGRTTTGTACCTMGTCTCTGATGGTTCCGGATAGAAGYGAGTACAGCACGCTTRCAGTTTTGACGTCAGCAGAATGCTGCCAGTGGATTAGCTCTTGGATGGATTGACAGGGGAAAGGCATTTCTTGTGCAAACTTCCTCCTTGGGAAAGGCAGCGGAAGAACTTGCAAACACTTCTTGGAGAGAGCTGTAAAAGACKAAGTCGAGCAGATATCCAGGGAGGTTTGAAAAAAAATGGCCACCCACGGTTACCAAGTACTTATTATAAACAGGACTGCGACAGTAAATGAATAAAATAACAGAACAGTAAAACCACAATGGTTTTTAAAAAAACAGCTGTGGACAGGTCAGAGGCCACCGAACCGGACTCCCTCCGCCCCCTGGCTGGACCGAGAAATTCTGTCCATGTAGGTTATGAACAGAATCAGTGACAGTGGGCATCCCTGGCAGAGTTCAACTCCACCTTGAAGGGGTCTGACTTACYACTGGCAATGCAAACCAAACTCTTGCACCCCTCGAAAGGGACTGAATGTCTCGTAACAACGAACCCATAATCCCACACTCATTGAGCTCCCCCCACAGTGTGCCTCGAGGAACAAGGTTGAATGCCTTCTCCATGTCCACAAATCACATGTAGACTGGATTAGCAAACACCTATGACCCCTAAAGGACTTGAAGGTAAAGAGATGGTCCAGTATTCCACAGCCAGGGGGGAACCTGCATTGTTTCTCCTAAATCTGAGGTTCAGCCATCGATCAGACTGTCTTCTCCAGAACCCCTGAACAGACCTTACCAGGGAGGCTAAGGAGAGTGATGCCCCCTGCAAAGTAATYACTTCACAGAACCACATTTCAAATAAATCTGACCATCACATCTAAAATGAGTGTCGACTTGTAATGTGGAGCCTTTAAACAGACACCCTCACATATTCATATTCACCTTATCACAAGCAGCTACTTAAAAAAACAGAGCAGAATTTGCTTTCAGCACACAAATAAAGTTATCAATTAACAGTTAAACAAGGTGGAGCATGTAAGAAGGGAAACCAAGCTAGGATGTAAAGTTTGAAATGTTTAGCTCCACAGTACTTAATAGATCATCTTATACATTATAAACCACCCAGACCTCTCAGATCAGCAAACACAGGATTTTTAGTTTTCCACAAATCAGATCCAAACGCAGTGAAGCTGCCTTTAGTTTCTACATCCCTCACATGTGGAACAAACTGCCTGAGGAGCTCAGACTTGAGCCTAMTCTTACCTTACTTAAATCTAAATTAAATACATTCTTGTTTCCTGTTGCTTTTAACTCATAAATTTGAAACTGTTTAGTACTGCTTTTATTATTTGATTTTATTTTTTAACATCATGTCTCGGTGTGTATTTGTGTGCATRGGTAGTTTTGCCTTGTTCACGTGTACTTGGTTTTATTCTATAAAGCACCTTGAGTTGCCTCTTGGCATAAAATGTGCTATACAAATATTTTTTGTTTTTAGTTGACCTTAAAATAACTCAATAACTCATGACAAAGTCTGCCTGCATGATTATTATTCTTTTTTAAGCAATTTTATATGCTAATAATGCTTCATACCTCCATTTGGGCAAATCATCAAATTAATTCAGGAACAAGACTGAACAGAAAAATAATTGCACAATTAAGCTGCTAATGGATTTATATATAAATCTGTTTTTAACCTTCCATCAAGCCTCCCCGTAGCATTTTATTGTTTCAGTTTCAGGCTGCACTCTATTTACACTGATTGATTTTTAGGTTTTGTCTCCCATAAAGTCCTTCGAGGCATGCTGAAGATGAAAAGGCCTGTGCGTAAATGTGACACAACTTAATGATAAACCATAAACAAAATGTGTTTGTAAATGAAATGATTGAGCTGTAGATAGGCGGCAGGGAAACTAAAATATGGCTTATTGTCACAGATGCTAAGTGAGAGCAATCAAGGGCAATTGGCGATGTAAGAGGTGAGGGCTGGGCTGCCGAATATTATTGCCGAGGAGTTGAGTCAAAGATCCATTCTCTGCATGCAGATGAGATGGGGATGAAGGTCACTTCTCATCATAACAGATGATTCATAGCCTGCCCTGACCTTTAATACCTGGATTTACTTCTTTACCTCCGTCTTTGCTCACCACACACTGCAGAGCTCCTCTGCAAGGAGAGTTCAAGTGTATGCTGCTTGTAGCAATATACACTCACTAAGCTTGTGTCCATACGGGCTGTGCCAATAAAGGGTAAACATATGCACACATGCACACGTCCTCGTGCCTATTTGAAGAGTGGATTCCCATTTAAATGCACATTTGCACARGCGTCAAATGTCAAAAGTTCACTGCGGCAGCCTGCTCACATCTAATGTGACAAATAACTTCTTCCTCCCATTGCATTGTTCTAATCCCTTTAGTGGGCTCCGGAATGGAAATATAATTACATTTCTGTGGTGCAGTGCTTTTGATAAGACAGTCGCTTGCTGAGCTGAATCTCTAACTGAGTCGGATGCTTCGCCCAAGTCCTCTTCTCKCCCCTCTTTGCTTCTCTTTCTCACTCGGTCTTCTTCATTTCTCATATTCTTCTTTTTTTTCTTTTTTTTTTCCTGTTTCTCCACTCGTTCTCGATGCCATCATTTCCAAAAGCTCATTCTCCCTCTCCTTCTCTCTCCCTCTCCCTTGCTCAGGTATTGCAGTGGATAAGAGAGGTGTTGTCTACTTTGTGGATGGCACCACCATTCAGAAGATTAATGAGAGAGGTTTGCTCTCCACTGTGATTGGCTCAAACGGACTCATGTCGACGCAGCCGCTGAGCTGTGATGCACGCATGGATATCAGCCAGGTAAGCCAATATTGTGGCTGAATTTAAATGAGAGCAGGAGCCTCTTTGGGCTCTGAAATGTTTAAATAATTTGTGGAATGATGTATCTTCTGGGCTGTGTGGGTTAATTAAAATCATTGACTCAAAATGGGTAGTGGATGATGAAGTTTGCAGTTTTCTTCCCGTTTGCTGCAGTTGATACAAAATACCGGTTTTCTTTAGAAACTCTCTGTCTTACAAATAGCAGCATTTGATACATTTTATTGTCTCATTAAAATGATCATCTCTAATTAAGTTCTATATTTTAGAGTAGCAATTAATTCAAAAATAATGTTCATTTGTTCCTTGGCGTYTATATGGAAGGTAATACAGCACAAAACTATAAAGAGATAAGTCAATTTTAAAAATAAAATATCTTTAAAGAATACATACAGTATCACCCACCATCTTGCATGCCAAAGTTTTTAACAAAAATCTTACTCTGTTAACTTGTAGACCATGTGTTAGGAATGATTCTGAGCTTATACCTTATCCATCTTTAACTCATCTGTAAATCAGACTGAGTTATAGCTGGCTGATTTWTCAGCACCKATTTCCTTAATTTTGGGAGTCATAGATTGGTCTGCACTCAGATAAGATCGGTAAAAAAGATCAGCTTCTCATCTACAGTACCTCCACAAAGGTCTAAAATCAGCCACTGTCCCCTTTTACTCTGCTGTGAGCACTAATGTCCAGTTAAAACAAGTTTGTATTGTTTCAAGAGTATTTTTTTATGTTTTTCAGTAAATAAGATTGGAATACTGAAGGTGCACCTTACTGTATAACACAGTGTCAGCTATTTTTAAAATCTGTATCGGCCAAAATCAGAYCTTTTAAAGATTGTGATCGGCCAGAAAACTGCAAGTGGTTCACCCCTATTTTTATGTTTGCTGAGGTTGAGTAGATGAGGATGTCATAAGTCCAAAGCAATTGGAACATAGTGTAAAATTTTAAAGGGGACCTATTATGCAAAATTCACTTTTTTTTAACTCAACTTTGGGTATGTACTTCTTAAAAAGCAGTCCTAGGACCAAAGAAAATGCACCTAGGGGCATATTTACTGTAAGTAAATGTATTTTTTATGTATATTAATGACAAGTTTTATACTTCCTACATTTTGTGATGTCACAAGCCGTACGACAACCCACCGGAACCTGCGTTCAGCCCCTCACCTAGCAACCCCTGGTGAGGCTCCACCCACTTCAGTATGAAGGCGGTCACAGTTGTTG